AAATGGGATAAAACACGTTTTACACGGTGGAATCTGACTGATGAAAACTTAGGAGCTTAATCCGGGACCAGTTTGTGGATGAAGAACGTTGGGTGATGACTGACTCTTTTCTTGCATTGAACTCCACCGGAATGAAATCCCGTGCATACTGCCTGCTTCAATGTTCGCTACGTCAGAACTTATTCCCTGTGCCATTCCACATTATTACAAATAACTTCATTTCTTGACATTTATGGTTTGATTTCTTTGTATGTATGGATCACTTGGGTTGTTACCGACATCTGGTGAAAATTTCATGTCATTAGCACCTCTAGTAATATATTTACTGAGAAAAATGGTGACGTGTTCAATACTTATTTTACCCGCTGTATACTGAACATTCAGAACATTATGACCACCCACCTAATAATGAGTCACTTCCCACTTTAACTCTTGTTGTGAGATTTGTTCGCTCAGCACAGTTTGAACATTTCTCATTTGTGTCTGCTCCACAACACTAGACTTGTTAGTAGTGGTGATTCTTTTATACTCTTCAAAAAGACTAAAAGGTCATTGAAGCATCATAGATGAGAATATTTTTTTCCCCCTCAATCAGTCAAAATAAGTCCACAGTCCAAACATGATGGTTGTTTTTGGTGGTGGGTTTATTAATCCATCGCAACAAACAACATTGCTTCTTTGCTCTGGTGAAAAAAAAAGAGGTTGAGGCCCACCCCAGTGCATGCTGGTCCAACACCTGCCTACAAACTTACAGATTTGGTTCCCACATTTTTTACTCGACTCTCATATAAATGGAAACAAAAGATCAATAAATACTAACAGGTATTTTAGGACATAGCACTTTAAAACAACAAAAAGATACTTTTTAAATACAAAAATAAGTTCAAAGCTCCTATATTGTTGTTTGGGACATTATGATGAGGATGTTTTTATTCGTCTTTTAGTTTTCAGAGTGTCTATAAATCACTGATGTGCCTTCTGACAAAAATAAAATCCTCTATTTACAGAACTTTGCTAAAATAGGATCAGAAACTTTATTGAAAATCTGTTCAAAACAAATGCTTCATCATCCTCAAACATGAAGCAGGAAAAAAAAGCTGCAAGATCACCATGCTGCTGATTCTTATCAAAACATTATGACTTGGTTCATTTTACGCTTGTCTCAATATGACAGCATCAAATGTCACGACAGAAAACAGAACAGCTGCTAAAATGTGTAAACAGCTCTGCAACAGGTCAAACATGAAAAATGCTTTGGGACAACGCAGAATAAAACATCTTGGTTAAAAAAAAAAACAATCTTTGTACAGCAGTAAAATCAGGTTCAGTACAACAGGTTCAACATCCTACGATACTTAAAAATATCTAAATCCAAACAGAAAAATACTAACATGTTAGCTCAGCAATGGTAAGGATAATGGTGTACTTCCTGCTTTATCGAGAAGGGGATATCTGAAGAATCAAAGTGGGCGTGTCACAAGAGTGGGCGTGTCTAAACCATAAACACTGTGGGCTACGAGGCCTACATGACGGTATCCTTAGACCCTGCTTGACCTCTTCACAGCCTGACCCTGACCCCAACACTAAGGTTAACCAGGAGAAATGTGACCCAAGTAGGGGTCTCCAGAAAAAGTGGTGCCGTACAGCAACGCCCCTTTTGTTCTTGTCCAATGAGGTGTGTTCCTTTAACAAAGTCCGTCAAATCAGGTGTGTCGCTTTAGAATCGTCTTTTCTTGTGACACGCCCACTCGTCCGCACTCGTCCCCAGAGACCCCTACTTGGTTTTATCAGCCGCTGAAAACAAAACAAAACAGAAAATAGAAATGCTGCAAAACAGAAATAATAAAAACCTCATCATCAGCAGAACTAAACATACTTTTACTTTACATTTCTTACAGTACCAGGGATTCAAATCAGGACAAAAAGAGCCCACCCTCCTTCAAGTTTAATGTAAAATGAATCAAATCATAAAAATAATCAGGTTAGATTTGAAGAATTAACTGTTTTTATTAAGTCTTCATATAAAACCCTAAAACTGAAGGAGAGTGGACTTTCTTTATTTCCATGACTGTAGGTGCTCAGAGACTAACTCCTCTTCATCAAGTCACCCTCTCTGTTTTTACAGTAACAGTATTTTTACAGCGTACACAGGTGGTGACAGTACTGAGAAAAAAAATTCAGCAGAGAAAAACACGTTTGTGTTTTAAAGGACCTTTAAGTCTTTAAAAGTTACTCGAGGTAAGCAACGTGACAATATAACCTTTAGTATTAAACCATTCATCATTCTGTGGTATGACTTACATCAGCTCATAACTGAACCCATTAAATAACATTAATGACGTGTGACCTGTACTCACTTATTACAGTAATGACGCTTGAATATATAAACAGCAGCATTTTTACAAACTTGAGAGAAAAAGAATTAAAGCTAAACACAGAAAATACTGATTTGTTCTTGGTATATATATATATATATTTTTTTTTTTTTACTTGTGTACTCCTACAGTTTATAACGATGTAATGCCGTCAAATTTATAATAATATACTTGGTCTGTAATCTCAACTTTCTAAAAATATGGTCCCATTTAAAAAAAATGTGACTCATGAGGCTGAATGATTTCAGATCTGTTACATTTTTTTAAATTTTTTGCTAAATTTTGCTGGCAGACAAATAAATGGCACTCAGAACTTCTCTACATCTAAGCAAAGGATCTCAACAGGCTGCGACTGTAGTGACAGATAAAACATTGGGCCTCATGCAAGAACCGTTCGTACGCACAGATTTGTTCTTAAGTTGTGCGTACGAGTGATTTAGGAGAATTTGTGGCATTCAC